CGACATGCATGGTAGTGCACGGCGAGAGCACGGCAGAGCGTCGTCGGGTCGAGAGCACGACTCCTGTTCGGCAACATGTCCTGAGGGAAACCGAACATGACGCACGACGGGAAATGTAAATGGACGGCGTGAAACACCGTAAGCGTGAAATGAGAGCCAGCGCTGGTCGGTAACACGACTCGTGTAGCCAACAGGTCCTGAGGGAAAACTGTCATGACGCAAACAAAAAATGGAATGGGCGGTTCGGCCAAAGCAGAAGCGCAGAACGAGGGCCAACGCTGTAGCGGGAACACGATGTTGAAGATCCGCAACAACGAAGTGAGGTCAGCGATGCAGCGGGAGCATAAGTTAGAAGGACCGAAAGCCACAAACATGGAGACAACGCTGCAGCGGATGGAGCCAACGCTGCAGCGGGAACGCCATTCTGGAAACACCAAAGACGTTCGGAGTGTAAAAAACACTCGCGTGATGCCGCGCGCGAAGCGATCCCGCATGTTTCGCTTGAGACATCCCTAAAGCTCTGGCCTCCGAGATGGTGGTGGATCCTCGTGAGGTCCGATGCGCCGCCCCAGTCTGACCATTGCTATCCTCCCAGACCATCATCGATCACTATGTGCTCTTCCTCGTCGTCGTCGTCGTCGTCGTCGTCGTCGTCGTCCGACTCCTCCTCCTCATCCTCCTCCTCGTCGTGGGCCGTCGTCGTCGTCGTCGTCATCGTCGTCGTCGTCGTCGTCGTCGTCCTCCTCCTCATCCTCCTCCTCGTCGTGGGCCGTCGTCGTCGTCGTGGGCCGTCGTCGTCGTCGTCGTCGTCGTCGTCGTCGTCGTCGTCGTCGTCGTCGTCGTCGTCGTCGTCGTCTGCCCAGGGCCAGGGCCACCTCTGGCAAGCGCCGAAGGTCAGGGGCGGGCTGGCGCCTCTCCCGCGGCGCGCCGCCGGGGCCGCGGCGGCGCGCAGGGCGTGGTGGCACACCTGGCGGTAGATCACCCACCTCGGCGCGACCGGCCGAAGGGGCCCAGACCCCCTCGAGTCATGAAAAAATCACGACGGGAGGTTTTCCTTCGTTTTCGGCCTCCGGGGGGCCTCACCGGGCCTCGGGAGCGTCAAAACACGACTCGGGATGCAAAGCCGTCATGGGGAAGGGTCCGGACCTCTGGGGGTCGACGTATTGAAAAAATCATTACGTCGGGGGTCTGGGGGGGCAGGTGAGCGACGAGCAGAGACGGGTCTTACGTCATGTTGCTCCCATCGCACTCAAGGACCACGTCCCAGAAATTCGCCGGCCCAGCGGGCCAGGGGCGTGCTAAAATCTCCGGCAACTGGTGAACAATATCTCTGGTTCGCGCGCGCGGAGCGGCCCCTGGGGGCCCCCCGACGAAAAGTACCCCAGCAAGGTCCCGAGAGAAGCCACCAGAGCACTCCAGGGGAGGGCCATTTTTCGACACCCCTCACGAGGATCGTGGCCTCCGACGGGGGAGCCGCAATCGACTACCCCCCCTCCAGCCCCAAGAGGCCCCCAAAAGTCCCTCAAGAGGCCCTGGGGGCCCCCAAGACGCCGCCAAGGAGCCCCAAGAGACTCCCAAGAGGTACCCAAGAGGCCCCCAAGAGGCCCGAAAGAGGGCTCCAGGGCCGGCGAAATGAGCGAAGCGATTGAGTAATGTCGAGCTCCCAGACAAGTGTCGAAGGAGTGTCGAAAGAGTGTCGAAACAGTCTCCCAGGGCCCGACACGTGAAAACCCTCGAGTTTTGGGGTGCGCTCGAGATTCTTTCTGGTGCTCAAGGCTCGGGGATGGACAGATCCCCCTTTAGTAAAACGTGGTTTAGTGAAAACGACCTGAGGCCCAAACATGGCGGGCGCAAGCCTGGAAAATAACGGCCACGGCGCCCTCTCGAGAGCCGAAAACGGACAATTCACTAATCGACGTGTCACTGTTGGGGGTTCTGTCCAGCCCCGACTAAAGTAGGTTGGAACAGCATAAGTCTTACGCGAGATGGCACAGCGACCTCACACGCGGTGGCTTACGTGGGCCGCCAGCGCGACGCGCCAGACCGGAGACGAGGGCGCTTACGCGAGACCTGACGCGGGCAGCTCGCGCGCCAATGCCGGCGCAGCCGAACCCGTCCTCGTACGTCGCTCGGCGCACTCTGAGATCTGTGCGTCGCCGATTTTTCAAGCTGGGCGTTTCTGCCCAGTTCGGACCCTGGGGACCCTCAAGGATCGATGCGCCTCGAAAAGATAGCGCAGAAAGACAAGGTGTCTAGGGCCCTGGTTGCGATGTTTCGCGTGGCTGGCGATTTGTCGCAACGTCAGATCTCAGGGCATACGGAGCGAGCTTGCAGCGGCGAGGCCCTCGGAGACAAGGACGAGGAGCAAGAGGTCGACGGCGAAGGACGACGACGACGGCGAGGACGAGCAGGACGAGGACAACGAGAACGAGGCAGGGGACGACGAGGACGAGGAGGGGGAGGAGGAAGAGGCTGAGGGCTGGCGGCGCGCAGAAGGCGAGCTTGCAACACCCACCTCGGCGTGGCTGGCCGAAGAGGGAGGGTGGACAAGACACGACAAGAACGCCGTGAATCCACAGTAGATCTCCGACGAGCGTTTTTTTCAACACGCGTTCTTTCTCCGACTTCGCCAACAAAAACACATCAAAGGCGAAAACTAACCCTACCCCCAGACGGGCTGACGGGACGTCTAGATAGTGAGCCGTCACACGGCGCGAGACTGCAGCGGCGAGTCTCGTCGTTTCTTGGATGCCTTCACGGCGCGAGACTGCAGCGGCGAGTTCTTCAGGCGTTGTCGTCGGTTCCTGGAGGCCCTCCAGCCTCCGGATGCTCCCTCCATTGGGGGCCACATGCGAACCCTACCCCTACCCTCCATGGTTTCTGGGTGGGAGGGTGGGGTTCATTTCGTCCGGGACCTCCCGAGCGAAGTGAACCCTACCCTCCCCCTCTGAAATCGTGAGGGGTAGGGGTAGGGTTCGCATTTGGTCCCCTACTCCAGCAGCTGCGCCTCGCCGAGAGCGTTCCTTCCTGGAGGTGCCCGCGTGGCCCCGAACGGCCGCTGGAGGCCCGAGCCCTGACCCGAAAGCCACTAAGCATCGTTTCACCGATCCCTATCCCCTCGGGCGTGGCCCAGGCCCCCACTGGCCGATCGACCCCCCTGGATGGGGATAGACCCAGACCTCCTCGAGTCATGAAAAAATCACGACGGGAGGTTTTTCGCTATTTTCGGCCTCTGAGGGCCCTCACCGGGTCTCGGGACCATCAAAAAACGACTCGGGATGAAAAACCGGTCCCGGGGAAGGGGCCTGGACCTGTGGAGGTCGCGTCGTGAAAAAACCATGGCGCCGGGGGTCTGGGTAGGCTGTTCCCTCCGAGTTTCGAGGGGCGTATCCCGAACTAGGGTGGTGGGATGGTGGGGATCTGGACGGGGACGGAGAAGGGGATGGGGGGGTCGGTGAAACGAGGCTGAGCCACATCCCCTCTCGTCGTGGAAAAAAGCGTGGCGGGCTGTCTTTGGCCGCCTTCCGCCCACGAGGGCCCGCGCACCCGGCCCCGAGGCAGTCAGAGCACCACTCGGGGCGTCCTCGCTTACACTCGGCGACACAGGAAACACTATCTGCTTGAAGTGGCCCACAGAATCTGAACATCCATCGCTCTGGATCCGTCTGTCCTTGCCGCGTGCTTCGAACGGCAGGACGGGAGCCCTTGGGAGCGCCTGGGAGCGCCTGGGAGCGCAGCCAGCGCGCGCTTGGGAACGCGCCTGGGAGCGTGCCGGGGGCGCCCAGGAACGCTTGGGAGCGCTGCCTGCAGTTTGACAAGGAACCGCTGTGGAACTCGCGTCATCCTGACCCCCGGCACGCGAGAAAGCCGCCTCCCGGCGCACCCCAGACCCGTTTCCGGGGATGCACCGGGCGCGCCCGGCGCGCCGGGTGCGTCCCAGTCCGGCGCTCTCGCTCGAGACGTCCTCGCAATATATATATATATATATATATTATAAAAAACAGGCAAAAAAAAAAAAAAAAAAAAAAAAAAAAAAAAAAAAAAAAAAAAAAAAAAAAAAAAAAAAAAAAAAAAAAAAAAAAAAAAAAAAAAAAAAAAAACGGGCCCCCGGCGCGCCCGCTGGGACCATCTCCGGGGATGCCCCGGGCGCGCCCGGCGCGCCCGGCGCACCCCAATCTGGCGCCCTCGCTCGAGGCATCCTCGCAGCAAAAAAATCGCCCCCGCCTCGGGATGCGCTCCAGCGGCCGCGCCTCGCCGAGGGGCGTCCCGGGGCGCCCGGCTCGTCCCGATCGTATACGACCCGAAAACCGGACGACGACGATCATGGAGGGGGCCAGACCTTCTCGGACGGCGGCAGGCCTTCTCAGAAGACCTACCCAGACCTCCTCGAGTCATGAAAAAATCACGACGGGAGGTTTTTCGCGATTTTCGGCCTCTGAGGGCCCTCACCGGGCCTCGGGACCGTCAAAAAACGACTCGGGATGAGAAACCGGTCCCGGGGAATGGGTCTGGACCTCTGCAGGGTCGCGTCATGAAAAAATCATGACGTCGGGGGTCTGGGTACACGGCCTTCTGAGAAGCCATCTGAAACTTTCCCCGGGACCGGTTCTTCGTCCTGAGTCGTTTTCTGACGGTCCCGAGGCCCGGCGAGGGCCCCCTGGGACCGAAAATTGCCAAAAACCTCCCGTCCAGATTTTCTTACGACGCGACCATGTCTGGGAAGCCATCTGTCTCTCTTCGGAGGAGGCTCAGGAAGCCTCTCGGAAGGCTGGGGGCCTCCTGAGCCTTCTGACAAGGCCCGCCCCCTCTGCGTTCGCCCCCCCCCCCCGGCGCGCCGCCGACTCGCACAAAAGCGCGCCCAGAACTGCGACGTTGCGATGTTTGTCACGGCTGGGGGCAGCCGAAAAGGAGCCGAAGCCGATAGGGTCGCAGGATGGTTCCACATCGGCGATGCATCACCGAGGCATCGGCGATGCATCGGCGACATCGGCGATGCACACCGAGATCAGGCCCGAAGCGAACTGTGCTGGTCTGGTGGCGGTGAGTGTGAGTGCGTGTGGTGCGAGTTGTGCGTGCGGTGTGTGCGGTGTGTGTGGTGCGCGTGGCGCGTGTGGTGCGTGTGGTGCGTGTGGTGCGTCGGGCCCGTGGCCCGTGGCGCGTGGCCCGTGGCGCGTGGCCCGTGGCCCGTGGCCCGTGGCGCGTGGCGCGTGGCGCATGGCGCCGGGCGCGTGTGCGCCGGGCGCGTGGCGCTGGGCGCGTGGCGCCAGGCGCGTGGCGCGTGGCGCCGGGCGCCGGGCGCCAGGCGCGTGTGCGTGGGGCGCGTGGCGGCAGGCGCGTGTGCGTCGGGCGCGTGGCGCGTGGCGCGTGGCGCGTGGCACGTGGCGCGTGGCGCGTGGCGCGTGGCGCGTGGCGCGTGGCGCGTGGCGCGTGTGCGTCGGGCGCGTGGCGCGTGGCGCGTGGCGCGTGGTGCGTGTGCGTGGCGCGTGTGCGTGTGCGTGTGCGTGTGCGTGAGTGTGTGCGTGTGCTCGTGCGTGTGCTCGTGCGTGTGCGTGTGCATGTGCTCGTGCGTGTGCTCGTGCGTGTGCGTGTGCGCGTGGGTGTGCGCGTGCGCGTGCGCGTGCGTGTGCGTGTGTGTGTGTATGTGCGTGCGTGTCCCGACCGCTGGTGCAGCGGTTCTGCCTCGCCGCCGACGAAAAAAGTGGTTGTGTGCGTGTATGTGTGTGAGCGTGTGTGTGTGTGTGTGTGTGTGTGCTGGACGCTCTGTCGCTGCGCGCGGGGCCGCGACGCCAAAAACTCTGTGTGTATGTGTGTGTGTGGTTACGTCCTGTCGCTGCAAGCGGGGCCTCGACGGTAAACTAAATGTACGTATGTGGTATGTGTTGTGTGTGTTGCGTGCGCATGTGTGTGTTGTGTTTATGCTGTGTGTTGTGTGTTGTGTGTTGTGTGCTGCGTGTGCTGCGTATGTTGTGTATTGTGTGTTGTTCTG